ATTTAAAAAATTAGAATATTTATAAAGTTGTTATGAAAAAAAACGGGGTGAGCATGATGGTCAATCGTCCTATTTAATTAAGTAATCTTTTTTTTATATTCCAAGAAAATAATAATTGACRTTATCCTCAGAATTTAATATCAAATAGCAAATGTAATTTAAAAATTCAATAGAGATACAAATAAATATATTCATAAGTAAAAAACGAAAGACGTGTATGCTGTAGGCACTAATTATAATATGAGGTATAAGGTTAGTCTCTATCTCAGTTACTTATAATGATGTGTATTGTACTTGGATTTATGATTTATGATTTATCCACAACTCACTATAACTTGCACAATATTGGGGTTTCTAATATTTTGAAGAAACATCGTCTTACTGATTATGTGTCYCTGATATCCTAATAAATACCAGGTAATAAATATGTGAAGTACACATCATATTCATTGAAAGCATCTGGTCTGTTAGTTAAAAAAACAATATTGATCCGAGGCCATAGTCTCAAGATTATTATTTTTTACACCCAAAATATTCATGTTTCTAAGATAATATTCCTATCTTCAATATGTGCATATTATAGTATAACATCTAAAATAATATGTAAATATGCTTTTAGTTTAGGAAATGTTATGTTAATAAGCAAAAGAACAAGTATATTAATGATTATAGTCTTTTGCTTTCATAATTTCAATCGGTTATATACAACTAATGTAGCATTTTATGTATATTACCTATTAGTAGAATAGCAAAACTTCATATATWTTTTTTTTTTTTATAATATAGTTAATTATATTAAAAACAAATAATAAATGAAATACCTATACATTTTCATTAAAATATGTTATTCGCGCATTTATAACATCATTATTATATATTTGTTGTTTTATAATTTCATGTTATTTTTTCAAGACCCTCCAATAGTAGAGTTACGATTTGGAAATCGTATGCTGGACACCGGTAGTATTGGTCCTGGAGATGACGTGTATTTCGAATGTGCGGCTCGAGCCAATCCGTCAACTACCATCCGTTACAGTTGGTACCATAACGTGAGTAATCGATCTTTCTGGTGTTCATTTGAATTGTTTGTTTCGATGTCGTATATATTTTAGAAATAAAGTACAAATGTGTTAATAATAACATAATATCTTCAGCTTCTTACGAAATTGTGCAATAAAATATTTCTGTTTTATACACTCGCATGTAAGCTTTTTAAACTCAATTTAAAATTAAATATAGGTGCAGAATTGTGTGCATGTTTTAAATCGACGACTGTGGATTAGTTTAAATATAGTTGAATTAMTTTTTTTCTGAAAATTGAGACTATATACATCATTAGTATTTCATGCAGGCACGTATTAGTGACAATAATAATTATTACTAACATATTGAATTTTATTGCGTTYCGAATAAAAAATTAAACATTTATACACTTTTCAAGTTTAAAAATATGTTTCAAAAAAGGTACAATAAATAAAATAAATAATATTAAATATAAATTAAAATTTAGATAATTATTTCTAATTTCAAWGTTTGAACTGTTATATTGAAAAAGAGTTCACTCTGTATTACAAAGTTTAAGTTATCATTCAAAGTTTGTGTAAGTACTAATTAAATAACCAAGAATTTGAAATTCCTATAAATATATTCAGTATTCGTCATTGTTAGAATGTGAAACAACATTAATCATAGATTACAATTTTAAGTAATGGAAACATTGAATTATAAATTGTACCAAGGTGAAAAAAAAATAACATTGATGAGAGATTTATACATTTTTATATAATTTAAATACATTAACGGTCCGTGATTATGTATTTCAGAACTATGAATAACTATTTAGGCACTACAATTTAATTTGTATGTTGTGATAGCTTAAATCTTCAAGTAGACATACAAAAAAAAATGTGTGATAAATAAATTAAAACCTTAAATAAATTAAAATACACCCCATATATTATATTTGACATAAAAATATCCAAATATTGTATTTTTAAATCAAAACATAATAATCAGAAAAAAGAATCATAATGCTATATTAGTCAATAGATTATCTGTAAAAATTAATGATAATGGATGTATTGTTTTTTTTWAAAAAAGAACTACGCCTGTTATTAACACGTGAATGCTAAAAATATGGGGTTGAAATATGATTTAAAGGGTATGAAAAAACGGATGTTCTCAAACACAAGTATTATTATTTTTCCATGCACACACCGCGTCGTCCCGTCTAGGTCCTATCGTTGTCGGGAGATTTATTATTTATACCGTAAGAGTAATTTTGTAGTTGTCATCTTTACTATATACTAACAATAATTCTCGGGTGGTAGATTTGAAAAGTATCATTTACAAATGAAAAACATATTATAGAACCATCATCCCATATTATACTATAGGTATGTATTATCGTGAATACACTTGTCTCCCTATTTTTTTTATACATAGTTTCTACTATGGACCAAAATGGTAGAGGGAAATAACAAATCACATACTTCGCATTGATAAATAATATAAAAGTATACACTTAAACAATCACGGTAGGTATAAAAATTGACACACGCTATTCATATAGTGCCTGCCTATATAGGTGTAATGTGTATACTATATACTTACGTGWGACCTWTATTGATACAAAAGAGACAACAACGTGATCACCGCGGATAAAAAAAWWAAAATAATACAAAACCCTCAATTGTGTATTTGTGTGAAACCTTAAATAACACTATATACACCTAATAAACTGAGCTCCTGATGATTTATTGTTTCTTCGAAATGTAAACAAATAAAATAACACTTTATCGCATGACTGAAAATAAATGAGTTAGGTACATGTTTACACAGACACCAACAAGTATCTATTATACATTTATGCGGTTGAAAAACATTAACTTTTAAATTGACAAGTTACTTTTTCCCCTAATGACTTTTACATTTAAGTATCGTTACTGCGTACTAATATTGAGAATTATAGAAACATATTTAGTTCCTGTTACGTGGTTTTCGAACATTCAAATGCAGCTTTTTTGAAAAATTATAATTTAAGTTTTAACCAAATTTTCACWATATGAGATCCTACTAAGTAATAATACTTAAAGTCTTAAACTTAATAASTGCCTTAATTAATGTAATCTGTAACATATTATTAAGACAGTACTTGTAAAATAGTTCCTTTTTTCTATTAATTATTACAAAATGATTACATTTTATTTTAACAATTATTCGAAGTTCACAAGTTGATTAAAGATAATATACACTTCAGCCTTTAGTCACATACTTATACTGATTAAATCAGAGATAAGACAAATTATTAGTGATAAAAATACTACTAAAATATGTGGTTAGATTACCTAGTTCAACTTTATTCAATACTTGATAAGTATTTGTATGGTAATAAATTACAGTTTTAAATTATGTAAAAAGAATTATAGATAACTATTAATTCATTGCTTTATAATAATATATATTTATTGCTATAAATAGTAACTTAGATAAATTCAAATATCCAAATGCCTTTTTTTAAATTTATTTTTCAACAAATAGCCCGAGAAASTTAATATTTTTGTCATGAAAATAAAAACTCRACGAATTACACTTTTTTTATAACTTTTAAATAATTTTAGTTATATCAACAGTCAAGTCTAAGATAATTTATTAGGTACCTACTCCGTTCAMAAATTGAGTAGGRAGGTAACTAATTTGTTTTACTTTATTGGTTTCCACTATGRTGAGACACAGTGGCGTACCAAAGAAATTATTCATTGTGGAAGGGTAGTTTAAGTATAGTAAATAATGAAAATTAGATACCGAAATAATTTTATGTTCTAAGCGAAGCATTGAATATAAGCATCGATATTTTTTTACATTGATATTTCAGTATGAAATTTACTACCGATAAGAGTACCTATAGCTAGGGTACACCAAAAATACCAATGAACCGATATATGTACAGTCGATTATCTTAAAATTTCAGCTATACAATTGTATGGTATATTCAAATAATTAAAGTAATACCAACTATATATTTTTATGTGTGAATCTGATTAACGTCTGGTCCTTGTGAGCAATCATCATTAAAAATAATCACATATCATCACTAATACAATTTAATTTACTTATCATACAATTAATAAAAAACTACAACCATAGCTTCATTATTTTGAGTATTTATTTATTTTATAAATAATTTATAAACATTAAGTTTAAAAGTCAAAAATTCATATTTTATGTAATCATTTCAAAACAAATTAATAGTTCATAGATCAAAATATAAGTTCTTCTGCGTGCTCTGTTGCTAGAGATGATCTATGATCGGTACTATTACCAGTACAACTGAACACACGTTAACTTGRAACACTAGTACCTTTTACGTATAAATATTTTTAGCAAGTATGGTCAAAATTGGAAATTTATTTTGATACACTTTCCACCACTTTAAAGAATCTGAATCGTAATTTATAGGATCTATGTCAAGATATTTATTGAATTCGACCGAGTTTAGATCATGGCATTGGTTGGCGTTGACTATTGAAACTTCCATTGACAAAAACGCTGCCAAACCTATATAAGACAATATATATTATAATATATAATAAATATATAGGTATTATAACTTAAGTTTTTGTACATTATTAGCGTCCAATGGTGTTCATTTCAAATTTTATGTGGATTAAACCAGTGTGTTTCCCAACCTTTAGTTACTCAACGCCCATTTTATATTTTAAAAATCTCAACTCCCCCCCCCCTAATACATGGTTTAAACCATAAATTGCTGTGAGTCAATAAATTTGGAATTATATCTAGGATCCAACATAACCACAACTTGTGACTTTTCAATTTTTGATAAGTGTGTTAGTATTATTGCTTTGTAAGTGGACCCAAAATTTTGTTTTTTTAATGTGATAACTAAYATGTTCTAATATTGTTAATGTTTATAAAAAAATAAATATAAATTGTTTTGAGTTTCTTAATCAATTMTTTCTGTCACAGTCTGAAAACTAGAATTTGTAGTACCAAAATCAAAAATTGAGATATCACATTCTGTTTCTGTAGATAAAAATTGTTAACTACATTCAGCTTCTTAAAATATTTGATTTAAGCTACAAGTGAATGAAGAAGATTTCAAACATAAAACGTTATTTTTTTAAACAAGAATATACCGACAAAAATCCTGAAGCACGAGGACTCCCGGGTTTGGTGCCTTGCGGCTACAAGCAGTTACTACTTTATCAGCTCACATATGTTCACCAATTTGTTGAAGAAGTTTTAAAATTGTACATATTAAATTTAAAAATKCTCGTTCATCATTATTTGGAAACAGTTTTAGAGTCTTGGAATTTAAACTAATTTCATATAAAAYCGTGGTAAATGATGGTCTTTTACTAACTCAAGTGCTGGCAAGTAAAATCACCATCGAGTCTCACAAGCATCTGGGATTACTATAATTGAAAGTTTACGGTTTTTTTGTGCTTTTTTTAAAGCAACCAATGCACATTTTTTTTAAATTTTGATCACATGATTTATCAYATAATTTATCGGTTTMAACTTTAGAACAGCCAAAACATCATTGTTCAAAGTATGCCAAAGTARCTAACATGAAATAAGTTMAAAAGTTGTACTGGTTTAATCATGTTAGTACCATWATCAGTGATAACACCTGAAATTTCTTAAAAGCGAAATTTTCTCGTCTTTRWAAWWAWWRGKWA